CGATGGCGGTGGGCGTTTCCCTCCGGCAGTGGGCGTGTCCGATGGCGGTGGGCGGTTCTTGCCATCAGTGGGCGGTTCCCTCCGGTGGTGGGCGTGTCTGGTGGTGGTGGGTGTGTCTGAGGTGGGTGGGTGTGTCCAAGGCAGTGGGCGTGTCCGAGGGGGCAGTGGGCAGTTCTCGCCATCGGCGGGCGTGTCTGAGGGCAGTGGGCGTGTCCAAGGGAGCAGTGGGTGTGTCTGAGGTGGGTGGGCGTGTCTGATGGTGGTGGGCGTGTCTGAGGTGGGTGGGCGTGTCCGAGGGGGCAGTGGGCGTGTCTGAGGGGGCAGTGGGCGTGTCCAAAGGTACAGTAGTCGGTTCCCTCCGGTGGTGGGCGTGTCTGATGGTGGTGGGCGTGTCCAAGGGCGTGGTGGGCGGTTCCCTCCGGCTGTGGGCGTGTCCGATGGCGTGGGCGTGTCCGAGGGTGTGGTGGGCAGTTCCCACTGGCAGTGGGCGTGTCTGATGGTGGTGGGCGTGTCCGAGGGGTGGTGGGCGGTTCCCTCCGGCGGTGGGCGTGTCCGAGGCGCGGTGGGCGGTTCCCTCCAGCGGTGGGCGTGTCCGAGGGCGTGGCGGGCGGTTCCCTCCGGCGGTGGGCGTGTCCGAGGGTGTGGTGGGCGGTTCCCTCCGGCGGTGGGCGTGTCCGATGGCGCGGTGGGCGGTCCCTCAGGAAGCTGGACGCGTTCATCTACGACGCGGCGGTGCTGAACTACATGGCGCGCAAGGAGGAGGGCTGCAAGCTCGTCACCATCGGCTCGGGCAAGGTCTTCGCCTCCACCGGCTACGGCATCGCCCTGCAGAGGGGCTCCCGCTGGAAACGCCCCGTGGACCTCGCCCTGCTGCAGCTCCTGGGGGATGGTGGGTCTGGGGGGGCTCTGGGGGGAGTCCTGGAGGGGTTTGTGGGGGATTTGGGGGGGATTTGGGGGGTTTGGGGGTCCCCACGGCATCGCCCCTGCAGAGGGGCTCCCGCTGAAACGCCTCGTGGACCTCGCCCTGCTGCAGCTCCTGGGGATGGTGGGTCTGGGGGGGCTCTGGGGGAGTCCTGGAGGGATTTGGGGGGATTTGGGGTGATTTGGGGGTTTTGGGGTCCCCACGGCATCGCCCTGCAGAGGGCTCCCGCTGGAAACACCCCGTGGACCTCGCCCTGCTGCAGCTCCTGGGGATGGTGGGTCTGGGGGGAGTCTGGGGGTCTGGGGGGGGATTTGGGGGTTTTGGGGTCCCCACAGCATTACCCTGCAGAGGGGCTCCCGCTGGAACGCCCGTGGACCTCGCCCCTGCTGCAGCTCCTGGGGGATGGTGGGTCTGGGGGGGGTCCTGGAGGGGGTTTGAGGGGTCCTGGACAAGGTTTGAAGGGTCCTGGAGGGAGTTTTGGGGGTTTTTGGGGTCCCCACGGCATTGCCCTGCAGAGGGGCTCCCGCTGGAAACGCCCCGTGGACCTCGCCCTGCTCCAGCCCCTGGGGGATGGTGGGTCTGGGGAGGGGTCCTGGAGGAGTTGGGTGGGGCGTCCTGGGCTCTCCAATCCACCGAGATTACCTTCAAACCCCCCAAGACGACCTCCAAACCCCCCGAGGTGACTTTTAACCCCCCAAGATGCCCTCAAAAACCCCCAAGATGACCCTTTAACCCCCCAAGATGACCCTTTAACCCCCCAAGACAACCTCCAAACCCCCAAAGATGACCTCAAAACCCCCAAGATGACCCTTTAACCCCCGAGATGACCCTCAACCCCTAAATGACCCTCCAACACCTCAAGATGACCCTTTAACCCCCCAAGATGACCCTTTAACCCCCCAAGATGACCCCTTAACACCCAAGATGACCCTCAACCCCCCCAAGGAGACTTTTAACCCTCCAAGATGACCTTCAAAATCCCCAAGATGACCTCCAAACCCCCCCAACACGACCCGCCAGACCCCCAAAATGACCCTTTAACCCCCCGAGATGCCCTTGAAACCCCCCAAGATGACCCTTTAAGCCACCAGAATGACCCTCTAACCCCCTGAGGTGACCTCTAAACCCCCAAGACGACCCTTTAAACCCCCTTTCTCCCCAACCCCCCCACCCCAGACGAGATCGAGATGCTGGAGCGGCTGTGGCTGTCGGGGATCTGCCACCAGGAGAAGCTGGAGGTGATGAGCAGCAAGCTGGACATCGACAACATGGCCGGGGTGTTCTACATGCTGCTCGTGGCCATGGGGCTCAGCCTGCTCGTCTTCGCCTGGGAGCACCTCGTGCACTGGAAACTGCGGCACCTGGGCACGCCCGGCCGGCTGCGCTGCCTGCTGGCCCTCAGCAGGGTAGGGGGCACTGGGGGGACATTGGGGATGTTGGGGACATTGGGGACATTGGGGACATTGGGGACATTGGGGGCATTGGGGACATGGGCACGCCCGGCCGGCTGCGCTGCCTGCTGGCCCTCAGCAGGGTAGGGGACATTGGGGGGACACTGGGGGGACACTGGGGATGTTGGGGACATTGGGGACATTGGGGACATTGGGGACATGGGCACGCCCGGCCGGCTGCGCTGCCTGCTGGCCCTCAGCAGGGTAGGGGACACCTTGGGGGGACACTGGGGGTGTTGGGAGTGTTGGGGAGGATTGGGGCGATTGGAGACATTGGGGATTGGAGACATGAGGGACATTGGGGGATTGGGGGACTGGGGACACTGGGGACATTGGGGACATGGGCACGCCCGGCCGGCTGCGCTGCCTGCTGGCCCTCAGCAGGGTAGGGGACACTGGGGGACATTGGGGACATTGGGGACATTGGGGGTGTTGGGGACACTGGGGACATTGGGGACACTGGGGGTGATAAAGGGGATTGGGGACATTGGGGACATAGGGGATTGGGGACATTGGGGACAGCAGGGGACACTGGGGACGTTGGGGACACTGGGGGTGATAAAGGGGATTGGGGACATTGGGGACATTGGGGATGTTGGGGGTGTTGGGCACATTGGGGATGTTAAAGGGATTGGGGACCCTCGGGACATTGGGGACATTGGGGTGATAAAGGGGATTGGGGACATTGGGGGATTAGGGACATTGGGGACATTGGGGACAGTGGGGACATTGGGGAACACTTGGGGGACATTGGGGACACTGGAGGTGTTGGGGACATTGGGGAGTGGGGACATTGGGGGATTGGGGACACTGGGGTGACATTGTGGACACATTGGGACATTTAGGGCCTTGGGGGACTGGGGAATCGAGGGACACATTGGGGGATTGGGGACATTGGAGGTGTTTGGGGACATTAAAGGGACACGGCGGGGGATGTGGGGACAAGGACAGGGACAAGGGGTGGGGACCAAGGATGGACAGAGCAGGGTGGGGAGGGACAGGGGGACAGGGGTGGGGACAGGGTGGGGACACAGGGACAGGGTGGGGACAGGGTGGGGACACGGGGTGCTCCCCGTCCCCCGCCTTCTCCCCTCAGTGCCACCGTGTCCCTTTGTGTCCCCTTTGTCCCCCTCCTCCCATCTCCAGGGCATGTACAGCTGCTGCAGCGCCGAGGACCCCCACGCCCCCCCACGCCCTGCGCGCCCCCTGCTCCGCTCCCCTCCCACCACGCCCCCGCCCTCCCCACGCCCACCCCCGCGACCGCCGCCCCGCCCCCTGCCGAGCGCTGGAGACCCCGCGACCCCCAGCCCCGCCGGGCCCCCGAGTCCTTCCATCGCTTCTACGGTCCCATCGAACCGCAGGAGGCTCAGCCGGGGACCCCTGCCCGCTCTCCTCCCCACCCCCCGCGCACCCCCGGCCCGGTACCCGCCCCCGACCCCTTCACCCCGCCCTGGCCCCGCCGACCCCGGGGGCTCTACGAGGCTTTGGGGGCTCCGGGACGGGGGCTGGTGATGATGGAGCCCGACCCCCTTCGCCTACGCGCGCTTGGCCTACGAGGACGAGCGGAGCCCCCGCGCCCCCCCGCGAGAGACCCCGCGCCGCGCCCACCGCGGGGAGGGGACCCGAAACGCAGCCCCTGCTGCGCCCGCCCCCCGCACCGCCCCCACCTGTGCCGGGGGCACCCCATTTCGCCGCCGCGACCCCCCGCTCCCACGGGACCCCCGCCCTGTACCCCGACATCTCCGACTCGGATTCCGAAGGGTTCGAGGCCGCCCCCGCCCGCCACGCCCCACCACCCCCCGCGGGACCCCCGCCGCCCCCTTCTCTGCCCCAAAACCCCCCCGCCCCCGCCCCCCGCCGGGCCCCCCGTGCTGGGTGCAGGCCCCCTGCCGCACCCCCTTATTTCTGCTCCCTGCCCGGCCGCGATCGAGGGGGCTCCCCCACCCCCGCACCCCCCGCCGGGGCGCTGCTGGTCGGCAGAGAGGCTGGGGGGTCCCTGAGGCAGGGGGTCCTCACGGGGTCCCGCCTGGGGGCAGCCTGGAGTTTTGGGGTCTCCCCCGCACTACGCGGCCCCCTGCTGCCGCCCCGCTGCCGGAGCTGCTCGGCCGAGCGGCTGCGGGACTGGGACGTGCTGGGGAGGGGGTCACGCGTGGGGACCCCCACCCGGGATACTGGGGGTCGGAGGGGTGGGGTCCCTGGGAGGATTTTGAGGCTGCCTGCCCCCCTGCCGCCACGGCCCCCTGCGGCCGCCGCCCCCGCCTCCCGCAGCCTGGAGGACCTGAGCGCGTGGGGGCGCGGGTGGGGGCGGGGGCAGGGGGCGTTCTGGGGCTCTGGGGACACCCCACGCCCACCCGGCCCCCTCGCCGCCGTCACCGCCCAACCCCTCACCACCACCCTCCCACCACCACCACCACCATCACCACCACCACGGCTGCGGGGGCCGCGGGGGCGGGGCGGAGCCTTTGGGGCCCGCAGAGGCTCCGCCCACTTCTCCAGCCTCGAGTCCGAGGTATGACCTGGGGAGGGGGGTGGGGACACAGGGGACACCCTGGGACACCCCGAGGGACACCCACGAGGGACCCCAGGGACCCCGAGGACCCCCAGAGCCCCCGGGATGGGCTGGGGGAGGGGGGCTGGGAGGGGTTGGTGGCCCCCCCCGGTGACAAAGGGGACAACGGAGGGGACCCCCCTGGGGACAGTGAGGTGACACCAGCGAGGACCACGAGGACGGGGGGCACCTGAGGTGACAACGGGGACAACGAGGAGAGGAGGGTGGCACCTGAGGTGGCACTGAGGTGACAACGAGGACAAGGAGAGGTCCCTGTGAGGTGACATCATGGAGGATAAGGAGAGGTGGCACCTGAGGTGGCACTGAGGTGACAGCAAGGACAAGGACAGGTCCTGTGAGGTGACACCATGGAGGACAAGGAGAGGTGGCACCTGAGGTGACAACGAGGACAAGGACAGGTCCCCATGAGGTGACACCAGCGAGGACAAGGAGAGGTGGCACCTGAGGTGACAACGAGGACAAGGACAGGTCCCCATGAGGTGACACCAGCGAGGACAAAAAGAGGTGGCACCTGAGGTGGCACCTGAGGTGACAACGGTGACAACAAGGACAAGGACAGGTCCCCATGAGGTGACACCATGGAGGACAAGGAGAGGTGGCACCTGAGGTGACAACGAGGACAAGGAGAGGTCCCCATGAGGTGACACCATGGAGGATGAGGAGAGGTGGCACCTGAGGGGACAGCAAGGACAAGGACAGGTCCCCATGAGGTGACACCATGGAGGATGAGGAGAGGTGGCACCTGAGGTGACAACGGGGACAACGAGGACAAGGACAGGTCCCTGTGAGGCAACACCAGCGAGGACAAGGAGAGGTGGCACCTGAGGTGACAACGGGGACAGCAAGGACAAGGAGAGGTCCCCATGAGGTGACACCAGTGAGGACAAAGAGGTGGCACCTGAGGTGGCAACGAGGACAAGGACAGGTCCTGTGAGGTGACACCATGGAGGATGAGGAGAGGTGGCACCTGAGGTGACAACGGGGACAACGAGGACAAGGTGGCACCTGTGGGGACAAGGACAAGGACACAGGAGGTGTCACCAGGAGGTGACAACGGGGACAAGGACAAGGTGGCACCTGTGGGGACAAGGACAAGGACACAGGAGGTGTCACCAGGAGGTGACAGCAGGGAGAAGGACGTCACCTGGGTGACACTGAGGACAAGGACACGTCCCCATGAGGTGGCACCCACAAGGACGAGGACAGGCCCTGGTGGCACCTGCGGTGACAACGAGGGCCAGGAGGTGTCCCCAAGGCACCTACAGTGACACCAGCCAGGACAAGGACAGGTGGCACCTGCAGTGACAACGGGGACAATGAGGAGAGGTCCCCATGAGGTGACACCTCTGGTGACAACGGGGACAATGAGGAGAGGTCCCCATGAGGTGACACCAGCAGGGACAAGGACAGGTGGCACCTCTGGTGACAACAGGGACAATGAGGAGAGGTCCCCATGAGGTGACACCAGCAGGGACAAGTGGCATCACCCCCGGGCCGAGGGTGGCACTGAGGCCACCAGCACAGCCCTGGGGACAACCTGGGGTGTCCCTGAGCCCGAGGGTGACACTGAGACCCCATAGGTGACACCGTGACCCTTGGGTGACACCGTGGCCCTGTAGATGACACTGTGACCCTGTAGGTGACACTGTGACACTCTAGGTGACACTGTGACCCCATGGGTGACACCATGTCCCCGTGGGTGACACTGTGACCCTGTAGGTGACACTGTGACCCTGTGGGTGACATCACATCACTGTGGGTGATACTGAGACCCCGTGGGTGACACTGTGACCCCATGGGTGACACTGTGACCCCGTGGTGACACTAGGACCCTGTAGGTGACACTGAGACCCCACAGGTGACACTGTGACACTCCAGGTGACACTGAGACCCTGTGGGTGACACTGTGACCCTTGGGTGACACCATGACCCCACAGGTGACACTGTGACCCTGCGGGTGACACTGTGACCCCACAGGTGACACTGTGACCCTGTAGGTGACACTGTGACACTCTAGGTGACACTGTGACCCCATGGGTGACACCATGTCCCCGTGGGTGACACTGTGACCCTGTAGGTGACATTGAGACCCCACAGGTGACACTGTGACCCTGTGGGTGACACTGTGACCTATAGGTGACAACAGGTCCCTTCAGGTGACACTGTGACCCCGTGGGTGACACTGTGACACTGTGGGTGACATCACATCACTGTGGGTGACACTGTGACCCCGTGGGTGACACTGTGACCCCATGGGTGACACTGTGACTCTGTAGGTGACACTGTGACACTCCAGGTGACACCATGACCCTGTAGGTGACACTGAGACCCCACAGGTGACACTGTGACCCTGTGGGTAACATAACATCACTGTGGGTGACACAGGTGACACTGTGATCCCAGGGGTAACCCTGTGACCCCGTAGGTGACACTGTGACTCTGTGGGTGACACTGGGACCCTGTAGGTGACATCACATCACTGTGGGTGACACTGTGACCCTGTAGGTGACACCGTGTCCCTTTAGATGACACTGTGACCCTGGGGGTGACATCACATCACTGTGGGTGACACAGTGACCCTGTGGGTGACAACAGGTCCCTTCAGGTGACACTGTGACCCTGTGGGTGACATCACATCACTGTGGGTGACACTGTGACCCCGTGGGTGACACTGGGAGCCCACAGGTGACACTGTGACCCTGTGGGTGACACTGTGACCCCACAGGTGACATCACATCACTGTGGGTGACCCTGTGACCCTGTGGGTGACACCGTGACCCTGTAGGTGACACTGAGAGCCCACAGGTGACACTGTGACCCTGTAGGTGACATCACCTCACTGTGGGTGACACTGGGACCCCACAGGTGACCCTGTGACCCTGTAGGTGACACTGTGACCCCACGGGTGACCCCACCGCCACGGAGGACACACCCAGTCCCCAAGGGTGACACTGTGACACCCCTCCCCCCCCCCCGAGGACACCACCGTGTCCCCTCCCCCCTTGGTGGCACCGCGGCCACGCCGGGGGTGGGGGAGGTGTGTGGGGAGTGGTGACACCGTGCCGGGTGTTGGGGACACTCCCGTCCCCTCCCAGGGGATGGGCTGGCACCATCTGCTGTCCCCTGTGTGCCCCTCCCCACCCCCGGAACCCCGAGGAGGGGGGAACGCCCTCCCCCCACCTCCGCGCTGCTGACGAAGTTTTTAACGAATCAATTAATTACTGTGAGTGACGGTGACACCGCGGCCACCGCGGCGTGGGGACACTGTCACACCGTGACACCGCGACTGTGATCCCGGGGACACCCCACCCCCACCCCACCGTGGGCACCGTGTCCCCCAACCCCCAAACCCGGTCCCTGTCACCCCCATCCCCCTGTGTCCCTGTCACAACCCCATCCCCGTGTCCCCCACCCCAAACTTGTCACCCCAAAGTCCCTGTCACCCCCGTATCCCCCAAACCCGGTCCCTGTCACCCCCACCCCCGTGTCCCTGTCACGACCCCATCCCCGTGTCCCCCACCCCAAACTTGTCACCCCAAAGTCCCTGTCACCCCCTGTGTCCCTGTCACAACCCTATCCCTGTGTTCCCCCTCCCAAATGTGTCCCCCACCTCAAACTTGTCACCCCAAAGTCCCTGTCACCCCCGTGTCCCCCAACTCTGGTCCCTGTCACCCACCCCCGTGTCCCTGTCACGACCCCATCCCCGTGTCCCCCCACCCCAAACTTGTCACCCCAAAGTCTCTGTCACCCTCCGTGTCCCCCAACCCTGGTCCCTGTCACCCCCACCCCCCGTGTCCCTGTCACAACCCCTATCCCGTGTCCCCCCTCCCAAATGTGTCCCCCCACCCCAAACTTGTCACCCCAAAGTCCCTGTCACCCCCCTGTGTCCCCCAACTCTGGTCCCTGTCACCCCCCCGTGTCCCCTTAGCCCCTTGTCCCTGTCACAACCCCATCCCCGTGTCCCCCACCCCAAACTTGTCACCCCAAAGTCTCTGTCACCGCCTCTGTGTCCCCTTAGCCCCTTGTCCCTGTCACAACCCCATCCCTGTGTCCCCCACCCCAAACTTGTCACCCCACCCCGTGTACCCTAACCCCAGTCCCTGTCACCCCCCTACCCATGTCCCGTGTCCCTGTCACGACCCCATCCCCGTGTCCCCCCCTTCAAACTTGTCACCCCAAAGTCCCTGTGACCCCCCATGTCCCCTTAGCCCATGTCCCTGTGCCCCATCCCCAATGTCCCCCTCCCAAATGTCCCCACCCCAAACTTGTCCTCCTGTGCCCCCCATGTCCCTGTGTACCCCCACAAGTGACCCCCCCCATGTCCCTGTCGCCCCCCAATGTCCCCCCATGTCCCTGTGCACCCCCCAATGACTCCCCATGTCCCTGTGCATCCCCCAACCTGTCCCTGTGTCCCCCACCAAGTGACCCCCCATGTCCCTGAGTCCCCCCATGTCCCATGTCCCGTGCCCCCGTGTCCCCCGTGTCCCGTGTCCCCCCATGTCCTGTGCCCCCAATGTCCCTGTGTCCCCCAATGTGCCCCCCATGTCCCTGTGCCCCCCCAATGTCCCCCATGTCCCTGTCACCCCCCATGTCCCCTCCATGCCCCTGTGCCCCCCCATGTCCCTGTGTCCCCCCAGTGTCCCCCCATGTCCCTGTGCCCCCCATGTCCCCTGTGCCCCTCCATGTCCCCCATGTCCCTGTGCCCCCAATGTCCCTCCCCCATGTCCCTGTGTCCCCACAATGACCCCCCATGTCCCTGTGCCCCCCATGTCCCTGTGTCCCCATGTGTCCCCCCATGTCCCTGTGCCCCCCCATGTCCTGTGCCCCCCATGTCCCCCATGTCCCTGTGCCCCCCATGTCCCTGTGCCCCCAATGTCCCCCCCATGTCCCTGTGCTCCCCCATGTCCCGTATCCCCATGTCCCCCCATGTCCCTGTGCCCCCACAATGTCCCCTCATGTCCCTGTGCCCCCACATGATCCCCATGTCCCTGTGTCCCCCCATGTCCCTGTGCCCCCCATGTCCCTCCCCCATGTCCCGTGTCCCCCCATGTCCCTGTGCCCCCCAATGACCCCTCATGTCCCTGTGTCCCCCATGTCCCGTATCCCCCATGCCCCCCATGTCCCTGTGCCCCCCACAATGTCCCCCCATGTCCCTGTGTCCCCCATGTCCCTGTGCCCTCCATGTCCCTGTGTCCCCCTGTGTCCCCCCATGTCCCTGTGCCCCCCATGCCCCCCCATGTCCCTGTGCCCCCCAATGTCACCCCTTGTCCCTGTGTCCCCTCCCGTGTCCCCTCCATGCCCCTGTGCCCCCCCATGTCCCTGTGCCTCCCAATGACCCCCCATGTCTCCCTGTCCCCCCCATGTCCCCCCTGTCCCCCCGTGTCCCAGTGTCCCCCCATGTACCTGTGCCCCCAACGTCCCTCCCATGTCCCCCCTCGTGTCCTCCTGTCCCCCGTGTCCCGTGTCCCCCCATGTCCCTGTGCCCCCCGTGTCCCCCTCCCAGCTCCGGCGCCTTCGGAATAAAGAGCTTTTCTATTCCCGCTCCAACCCTGGCCTCGGATTTGGGGGGGGGTCACGGGGGTCCCCTAACACATTTCGGGGTCCCCAACCCCTCTGGGGGTCCTGAACACCTGGGGGGTCCTGAACACCTGGGGGGTCCCCAGCATCTGGAGGGGGCCCAACACCTCTGGGGGTCCCCAAACCTCTGGGGAGGGTCCCCAACACCTGGGGGGGTCCCCAACACCTCTGGGGGTCCCCAGCACCACTGGGAGGGTCCCCAACACCTGGGGGGTCCCCAGCACCTCTGGGGGTCCCCCAACATCTGGGGGGGATCCCCAACATCTGGGGGGGGTCCCCAACATCTGGGGGGGTCCCCAACATTTGGGGGGGTCCACAAAACCTGGGGGGGTCCCCAACATTTGGGGGGGTCCCCAACACCTTTTGGGGGTCCCCAACTCCTCTGGGGGGTCCCCAACATCTGGGGGTCTCCAACCCCTCTGGGGGGTCCCCAACATCTGGGGGGGTCCCCAACACCTCTGGGGGGGGTCCCCAACATTTGGGGGGGTCCTCAACACCTCCGGGGGGTCCCCAACATCTGGGTGGGGTCTCCAACACCTGGGGGGTCCCCAACATCTGCGGGGGTCCCCAACACCTCTAGGGGGTCCTGAACACCTGGGGGGTCCCCAACATCTGGGGGGGGTCCTGAACACCTGGGGGAGTCCCCAACATTTGGGGGTCCCCAACCCTCTCGGGGAGTTCCCAACACCTGGGGGGTCCTGAACACCTGGGGAGTCCCCAACATTTGGGGGTCCCCAACCCCTCTGGGGTCCCCAACACCTGGGGGGGGTCCTGAACACCTGGAGGGGTCCCCAACACCTCTGGGGGTCCCCAACATCTGGGGGGGGTCCCCAACATCTGGGGGCTCAACATCTGGGAGTCTCCAACCCTCTGGGGGTCCCCAACATCTGGGGGGGACACACGGGGTGACATCCAGGTTGGACACTTTTGGGGGGTGTCTTGAAGTGCCACATATCGAGGTGTCCCAGCCCCCCTCCCCTCCCCTCACTTCCCCTCCCCTCCCCCAATCCCCATTTTAAGGCCATTCCCACCTTTTTTTTGGTCACTTTTTAATTTCAGTGGCCGTTCAATCCCCGCGTGAAAAATAGCTGAGCCCCCTCCCCACCCCCTCCCCATCCCCGCAGGGCCCCCGCCCTTCCCCCAACCCCCGGGGCCCCTCCCAATTCTGGCACAGCCCCGCCCTTCCCCCCCTTCCTGAGTCAGAGACCCCCCAAAACGGGGGCACCCCCATAACAAAACCCCCAAAAAAACAACCCCAGAGATAACAGGGGGAGGGGGATTGCACCGATCCCAGGAGAGGGGAAGGGGAGGGTCATGAATATTCATGAGGTGTTAATAAATAGTAATTAAGGGAGGGGAGGGGAGAGCTCGTTACAGCGCAGCCCGAGGTGGGGAGGGGCTGGAGACCCTTCACCCCAAAAAGCACGAGGCGAGGAGGGGAGGGGACTCCCCAAACATGCAGCGAGTTGGGGGGTTTGGGGGTGTGCGCTCAGGGAGCAATTAGTCCTCATTAGCATCTCATTTGCATAGGAGTCATTTGCATAAGGCTCCGCTGCGCAGGGAGGGGGATTTTGGGGGAGGGGAGGGGCACCCCAGCCCGCGGCTGCATCGCACGGGGCAGGGGGAGGGGGGAGACCCCACATTGGGGACCCCTCAAGGGGTGGGTTTGGGTTAATTAAAGGGGTTTAGGGTGGGGTTTGGTTGTTTTTGCATATAACAATAAATACCGTGGGTCGGACATGCAAGACATGCTGGTCGGGAGGGGGCGCCTGGGGGCCCCACCCCAAACTGCCGCCCCAGGGCCCCACCCCCCGTAATGTGGTGGGGGGAGCAGGTTTGGGGGGGTCCCGGCCCCCCCCAAAGGGGGTAGGGCTTGTTTGGGGGGCTCTGGCCTAGTCCTGTTACCATGGAAACACAGCCTGAGCTCGCAGTGAGGGCTCTGGCCTAGTCCTGTTACCATGGAAACACAACCTGGCCTAGTCCTGTTACCATGGAAACACAGCCTGGCCTAGTGCTGTTACCATGGAAACACAGCCTGGCCTTACAGTAATGCTCAGGTCTAGTCCTGTTACCATGGAAACACAGCATGAGGTCACAGTAGACCTCAGGTCTAGTCCTATTACCATGGAAATGCAGCCTGGCCTAGTCCTGTTACCATGGAAACGCAGCCTGAGCTCGCAGTGAGGGTTCTGGCCAAGTCCTGTTCCCATGGAAACACAGCCTGGCCTCGCAGTAGTGCTCAGGCCTAGTCCTGTTACCATGGAAACACAGCCTGGCCTAGTTCCGTTACCATGGAAACACAGCCTGGCCTCACAGTAACGCTCAGGCCTAGTCCTGTTCCCATGGAAACACAGCCTGGCCTAGTCCCGTTACCATGGAAACGCAGCCTGAGCTCGCAGTGAGGGTATTGGCCTAGTCCTGTTACCATGGAAACGCAGCCTGGCCTAGTCCTGCTCCCATGGAAACGCAGCCTGGCCTAGTCCTGTTACCATGGAAACGCAGCCTGGCCTAGTCCCGTTACCATGGAAACACAGCCTGAGCTCGCAGTGAGGGCTCTGGCCTAGTCCTGTTACCATGGAAACGCAGCCTGAGCTCGCAGTGAGGGCATTGGCCTAGTCCTGTTACCATGGAAACACAGCATGAGCTCACAGTAGACCTCAGGCCTAGTCCTGTTACCATGGAAATGCAGCCTGAGCTCGCAGTGAGGGCTCTGGCCTAGTCCTGTTACCATGGAAACACAACCTGGCCTAGTGCTGTTACCATGGAAACACAACCTGGCCTAGTCCTGTTACCATGGAAACACAGCATGAGGTCACAGTAGACCTCAGGTCTAGTCCTATTACCATGGAAATGCAGCCTGGCCTAGTCCTGTTCCCATGGAAACGCAGCCTGAGCTCGCAGTGAGGGTTCTGGCCTAGTCCTGTTACCATGGAAACACAGCATGAGCTCACAGTAGACCTCAGGCCTAGTCCTGTTACCATGGAAACACAGCCTGGCCTAGTCCTGTTCCCATGGAAACACAGCCTGGCCTAGGTCCGTTACCATGGAAACACAGCCTGGCCTCACAGTAACATTCAGGCCTAGTCCTGTTCCCATGGAAACGCAGCCTGAGCTCACAATGAGGGCATTGGCCTAGTCCCGTTACCATGGAAACACAGCCTGAGCTCACAATGAGGGCATAGGCCTAGTCCTGTTACCATGGAAACACAGCATGAGCTCACAGTAGACCTCAGGCCTAGTCCTGTTCCCATGGAAATGCAGCCTGAGCTTGCAGTGAGGGCATTGGCCTAGTCCTGTTACCATGGAAATGCAGCCTGAGCTTGCAGTGAGGGCATTGGCCTAGTCCTGTTACCATGGAATCACAGCATGAGCTCACAGTAGACCTCAGGCCTAGTCCTGTTACCATGGAAATGCAGCCTGGCCTAGTCCCGTTACCATGGAAACACAGCCTGAGCTTGCAGTGAGGGCATTGGCCTAGTCCTGTTACCATGGAAACACAGCCTGGCCTAGTCCTGTTCCCATGGAAACACAGCCTAAGCTTGCAGTGAGGGCTCTGGCCTAGTCCCGTTACCATGGAAATGCAGCCTGGCCTAGTCCTGTTCCCATGGAAACACAGCCTGAGCTCACAATGAGGGCATTGGCCTAGTCCTGTTCCCATGGAAACGCAGCCTGAGCTCGCAGTGAGGGTTCTGGCCTAGTCCTGTTCCCATGGAAACACAGCCTGGTCTTGCAGTGAGAGCTGCAGCCCAGTGCTGTTACCATGGAAACGCAGCCTGGTCTCACGGTGAGGGCTCAGGCCTAGTCCTGTTACCATGGAAATGCAGCCTGGCTGTGGCCTAGTCCTGTTCCCATGGAAACACAGCCTGGCCTCGTAGTAGCGCTCAGGCCTAGTCCCGTTCCCATGGAAACGCAGCCTGGCCTCGCAGTGGGGCCCGTTTTCGCCCCCCCCCAAATTGTCATCCCCTTCCCCCCCCCATTTTGGGGTGACAGTGGGGACAGAGGGGACACCCGGGCGGGGCCCGGCCCTACCTCCACCGTCGTCCTCCGCCATCGGGGTGTCCGGAGGCTCCAGTTATTGCTTGGGGAGGGTGTGGGGAGCCCGGGAGGGGAGGGGGACACACGGTGGGGGAGGGGAGACACAAACATGGGGAGAAGGGGACAAAGTGGGGGAGGGGTAACACGAATTTAGGGGGGGCTCCTCAAGTCCTGAGTGATCATGGCGGGGACACACACCGAGAGGGGAGGGGATGCCCCAAACCCCCAAAACATGGCTGGGGGTTGATGGGACCCCAAATTTTTTTGGGGGACACACCCACTCCAGAAAGTGCAGTGCAGCCTTTTGGGGTGACATGGGGGGGTGGGGGGAGTCCCCTCGTCACCCCCTTTCACAGTCTTTTAAGGGGGACACCCCTCCATTTTGGGGGTCCAGTCCCTTTTTTGGGGGTAGGGGTGTCCACAAATCCCCTCCCCCCCAATTTCAGGGTGCCCCCTCCCCCCATTGCCACTGATGAGTTTTTTTGTTTTTTTTTTTACCGTTTCTCCCCCTTTTCTGCCCCAAATCCCACCGGGATTGGGGAGGGGCAGTAAAAGGGGTGTTTGGGGAAGGGGTGCCCCTGACCCCCTCAGAGGATGGAGGGGATGGGGGAGCGGGGGCGCCGGGGGGGCTGGGGAGCCGAAGGGGGCGGCCGGAGCCACCCGGACCCCCGTGATGCTGTTGAGGCTCCGCGACTTCTCGTAGCCTTTTTGGGGAGGGGAGACACAAAAAATTGGGGAGGGGGAGGAAAGGAAGGGTCAGTACCCCCAAAAAAACCTCCCCCTTTGTAAACCCCTCCTCATTCAACCCTTCCCCCACTTTTGGTCCCTCCTCCCCCAAATTGCCCCCTCGCCCAAATGTGGACCTCCCCCTCCCCGAATCTCCTGCCCCTAAAATGGGGACCCCTCCCACCCACCCACAGGAGAATGGGATGACCCCCATCCCCCCAAAAATGGGGATCCCACCCCCACCACCTCACAGGGATGTGGGACATTCCCCCACCCCCACTCCAAATTTGGGGACCCCCAAAAGGTGATGGCCCCTCCCCAAGGGGTTTAGGACCTGCCCCTCCCCCTCCCCTTGGAAATTGGGGACCCTCCCCTTATGGGATTGGGGACCCCCCCTCTCAGGAAATGGGGGATCCCCTCAGGATTTGGGGACCCCCTCCCCAAGATTTGGGACCCCCCTCATGGGGTTTTGGGACCCCAAGGCTTGGGACCCCCACTCCCCTACCCAGAAAATGGGGATCCCCTCAAGATTTGGGGACCCCTCCCCAAGATTTGGGGCCCTTAAAGATCTGGGGGAAGGTCCCAGGTGTATTTGGGGGGTCCGGGTGTTTTTTGGAGGGGGTCCCACGGGTTTTGGGGGTCCCCAGATGTTTTGTGGGGGGGTTCCCAGGTGTTTTTAGGGGGGGTCCCAGGTATAATTTGGGGGTCCCCAGATGCCTTTTGGGGGAACCCGGGTGTTTGGGGGGGGGAAGGGGGGGTCCCAAGAGCATTTAGGGCGTCCCAGGTGTATTTAGGGATTCCCAGGTGTGTTTTGGGGGGGTCGCGGGTGTTTTTGGGGGGATTCCGGGTATTTTTGGGGAGGTCCCGGTTGTTTTTTGGGGATGGGGATCCCAGGTGAAGCAGCGGTGCGGGCGAATGCGCATGCGCAGGCTGGGTGCGAAGTGGGCGGAGCCAAAGGCGAGACGAGGGCGTGGCCATGGATTTTGGGGCGTGGCCATGGATTTTTGGGGCGTGGTCAGGGTGGTTTTGGGGCGTGGCCAGTGGTGGTTTGGGGCGGGGCCAAGCGCGGTTTGTGGGCGGGGCCAGGGGGATGAGGGCGCCCCCTCCCGGCTGACCTGCGGCACCGTCGGGGGTCTCAGGCGGTGACGAGCGCTGGGGACGAAACGGGAGAGGGGGGGGCGTCACCCGGGGCAGGGACCCCCGTGGGGGCAGGGACACCCTCTGTGGGGTCAGGGAATCTCCTGGGGACCCCCCTATGGGGTCAGGGACCACCCTATGGGGACAGGGACCCCCTGTGGGGTCAGGGACCCCCTATGGGGGCAGGGACCCCCTATGGGGTCAGGGACCCCCTATGGGGACAGGGACCCCTCTATGGGGTCAGGGACCCCCTATGGGGGCAGGGACCCTCTATGGGGTCAGGGACACCTCTATGGGGGCAGGGACACCCCTATGGGGACAGGGACACCCCTATGGGGTCAGGGAATGTCCTGGGGACCCCCCTATGGGGTCTGGGACCCTCTATGGGGACAGGGAATCTCCTGGGGACCCCCCTATGGGGACAGGGACACCCCTATGGGGACAGGGACCCTCTATGGGGACAGGGACACCCCTATGGGGTCAGGGACCCTCTATGGGGACAGGGACCCTCTATGGGGACAGGGATCCCTGGGGACACCCCTATGGGGACAGGGACCCTCTATGGGGACAGGGACCCCCTAAGGGGTCAGGGAATCTCCTGGGGACCCCCTATGGGGTCAGGGACCACCCTATGGGGACAGGGACCCTCTATGGGGTCAGGGACCCTCTATGGGGACAGGGACCCTCTATGGGGTCAGGGACACCCCTATGGGGTCAGGGACACCCTATGGGGCAGGGACCCCCCTGTGGGGGCAGGGACCCCCCTATGGGGACAAGGACACCCCTATAGGGACAGGGACCCCCCTAAGGGGTCAGGGAATCTCCTGGGGACCCCCCTATGACACCCCTATGGGGACAGGGACCCTATGGGGACAGGGACCCTCTATGGGGACAGGGACCCTCTATGGGGACAGGGACCCCCCTATGGGGTCAGGGACCCCCTCTATGGGGACAGGGACCCTCTATGGGGTCAGGGACACCCCTATGGGGGCAGGGACCCCTCCATGGGGTCAGGGACCCTCTATGGGGACAGGGACACTCCTGTGGGGTCAGGGACACCCCTATGGGGTCAGGGACCCCCCTATGGGGTCAGGGACCCTCTATGGGGACAGGGAATGTCCTGGGGACCCCCCTATGGGGTCAGGGACACCCCTATGGGGTCAGGGACACCCCCTCTATGGGGACAGGGAATGTCCTGGGGACCCCCCTATGGGGACAGGGACCCCCTATGGGGACAGGGACCCTCTATGGGGACGGGGACACCCCTATGGGGTCAGGGACCCTCTATGGGGTCAGGGAATCTCCTGGGGACCCCCCTATGGGGTCAGGGACCCCCCTATGGGGTCAGGGAATCTCCTGGGGACCCCTCTATGGGGACAGGGACCCTCAAATGGGGACAGGGACCCTCCTATGGGGGCAGGGACACCTCTATGGGGACAGGGACCTATGGGGTCAGGGAATGTCCTGGGGACCCCCTATGGGGACAGGGACACCCCTATGGGGACAGGGACCCTCTATGGGGTCAGGGACCCTCTATGGGGTCAGGGACCCTCTATGGGGTCAGGGACCCTCTATGGGGACAGGGACACCCTTATGGGGACAGGGACCCCTCTATGGGGTCAGGGACCCTCTATGGGGTCAGGGACACCCCTATGGGGACAGGGACCCTCTATGGGATCAGGGACCCCTCTATGGGGACAGGGACACCCCTATGGGGACAGGGACCCTCTATGGGGTCAGGGAATCTCCTGGGGACCCCCCTATGGGGACAGGGACCCCTCTATGGGGTCAGGGACGCTCTATGGGGTCAGGGACCCTCAAATGGGGACAGGGACCCCCCTATGGGGTCAGGGACCCCCTATGGGGACAGGGACACCCTATGGGGTCAGGGACCCCCTATGGGGACAGGGACACCCTATGGGGTCAGGGACCCCCAAACTGGCACAGGTACCCCCCTATGGGGACAGGGACCCTCTATGGGGTCAGGGACCATCTATGGGGTCAGGGACCATCTATGGGGTCAGGGACCCTAAACCAGGACAGGGACCCTAAAATGGGGACAAGGACCCTAAAACAGGACAGGGACCCTAAACTGGGGACAGGGACCCTAAACAAGGACAGGGACCCTAAAATGGGGACAAGGACCCTAAATGGGGACAGGGACCCTAAAATGGGGACAGGGACCCTAAAACGGGGACAGGGACCCTCAAATGGGGACAGGGACCCTAAAATGGGGACAGAGACCCTAAACAAGGACAGGGACCCTAAAATGGGGACAGAGACCCTAAAATGGGGACAAGGACCCTAAACAAGGACAGGGACCCTAAAATGGGGACAGGGACCCTAAAACAGGGCAAGGACCCTAAAATGGGGACAGGGACCCCCCAGCAGGCCCTGCCCTCAGCAGGCCCCGCCCCAGCAGGCCCCGCCCCCAGCAGGCCCGCCCCTTGCACGCGTGTGCAGAGAGGGCACCCAGAGCCCCCAAAAAGCGCCGGGGGTCTGTGCAGCTGAGCCCCCCCAAAAACACAGCTCCCAGTTCTCCCAGTTCAGGGCAGGGCAGAGACTGGGAGGGACCCTGGGGTGGGGAGGGGAGGGGGACGTGCAGGGCAGGGATTTGGGGGTGGGAGGGATTGGGGACCCCGGGGAGGGTTTGGGGGTTTTGGGTGCCCTGGGGGGTTGGGGATCCCCAGGGTGTTGGGGAGGGTTTTGGGCGACCCCAGGGGGTTTTTGGGGTGCCTGGGGTTTGGGGACCCCAGGGATTTTGGGGGGTTTGGGGAGGTTTTGGGGTGCCCTGGGGGAGTGTTGGGGACCCCAGGGGTTTTGGGGGTTTTTGGGGTGCCCTGGAGGGTTTTGGGGACCCCAGGGTTTTGGGGTGCCCGAGGGTGTTGGGGACCCCAGGGATTTTGGGGGTTTTGGGAGGAGTTTTAGGGTGCCCTGGGAGTGTTGGGGACCCCAGGGTGTTTGGGGGTTTTAGGGTGCCCTGGGGGTTGGAGACCCCAGGGTGCTGGGGTTTGGGGACCCCAGGGGTTGGGGAGGCTTTAGGGTGCCCAGGGGAAGTTGAGGGACCCCAGGGTGTTGGTGGGGTTTTGGGGACCCCAGGGGTTTTGGGAGGTTTTGGGGTGCCCTGGAGGGTTTTGGGGACCCTAGGGGTTGGGGGGTTGTGGGGTGCCCTGGGAGGTTGAGGACCCCAGGGGGTTTGGGGCTTTTGGGGACCCCAGGGGATTTGGGGAGTTTTGGGGACCCCAGGGAGTTTGGGGATTGGGAACCCCGAGGAGGTTGGGGGATTTTGGGGTGCCCTGGGGGTTTGGGGACCCCGAGGGTTGGGAGGGGTTGTGGGGTGCCCTGGGGGGTTGGGGACCCCAGGGTTGGGGAGTTTTGGGGACCCCAGGGTTTTTGGGGATTGGGAACCCCTCAGAGGAGTTTTGGGGGGATTTTGGGGTGCCCTGGGGGTTTTGGGGATCCCCAAGGGATTTTGGGGCACCCTGGGGGGGGTTGAGGGACCCCCAAGGGATATTTTGGGGTAGATTTTGGGGTCAATTTTAAGGCTGATTTTGGGATTTTTGGGGGTTGGGGTGTGTTTGTCCCCCCCGGGGTCAGGAATGGGTTGATTTTGGGGTAGATTTTGGGATTTTTTTGGGGTTAATTTTGGGATTTTTTGGGTTTGGGGTGTGTTTGTCCCCCCCGGGGCAGGAATGGGTTGATTTTGGGGTAGATTTTGGGATTTTTTGGGGTAGATTTTGGGATTTTTTAGGGTTGGGGTGTATTTGTCCCCCCCAGGGGCAGGAATGGGTTGATTTTAGGGTTGATTTGGGGATTTTTTAGTGTCTAGGTGTGTTTGTTACCCCCAGGGGCAGGAATGAGTTGATTTTGGGGTAGATTTTGGGATTTTTTGGGGTTGGGGTGTGTTTGTCCCCCCCGGGGTCAGGAATGGGTTGATTTTGGGGTAGATTTTGGGATTTTTTGGGGTAGATTTTGGGATATTTTAGGGTCTGGGTGTGTTTGTTCCCCCCAGGGGCAGGAGGGGGTTGATTTTGGGGTAGATTTTGGGGTCAATTTTAAGGCTGATTTTGGGATATTTTGGGGTTGGGGTGTGTTTGTCCTCCCAAGGTCAGGAATGGGTTGATTTTGGGGTAGATTTTGGGATTTTTTGGGGATAGATTTTGGGATTTTTGGGGGGTTGGGGTGTGTTTGTTCCCCCAGGGGCAGGAGGGGGTTGATTTTGGGACAGACTTAGGGGTAGATTTGGGGATTTTTTGGGGTAGATTTTGGGATTTTTTAGGGTTGGGGTGTATTTGTCCCCCCCGGGGTCAGGAATGGGTTGATTTTGGGGTAGATTTTGGGAATTTTTGGGGTAGATTTTGGGATTTTTTGGGGTTGGGGTGTGTTTGTCCCCCCAGGGTCAGGAATGGGTTGATTTTGGGGTTGATTTTAGGGCTGATTTTGGGGTAGATTTTGGGATTTTTGGGGGTAGATTTTGGGATTTTTTTGGGTAGATTTGGGGATTTTTTGGGGTAGATTTTGGGATTTTTGGGGTAGATTTTGTGATATTTTAGGGTTGGGGTGTGTTTGTCCCCCCAGGGGGCAGGAGTGGGTTGATTTTGGGGTAGATTTTGGGATTTTTTGGGGTAGATTTTGGGATTTTTTAGGGTTGGGGTGTGTTTGTCCCCCCAGGGGCAGGAGGGGGTTGATTTTGGGGTAGATTTTGAGTATTTTTTTAGGGATTAGGGGGGGGTTTTGTTCCTTCCTCACCCACCTTTGCGCAGGGGTCCCTCTGGGGGGGGGGCGTAGTCGGGGCCGAGCAGGAAACAGGCCCTGTCGCGACCGCAGCGCTCGCGACCCCCTCCCCCTCCTCCTGCCCCTCCTCCTCCTCCTCCTCCTCCTCCTCCGGGGGGGCCGTTTTGGGGTCCCCCCAGCACCAGCACGGCCCCCCCGGGCCGCTCGTCGGGGGACAGGGGTTGGTCGATGGGGGGACAATCCTCCTGGGCCAGCGCCGCCCTGCCCGCCTCGCCGTTGGGTCGGGATTCTGGGGGGAAAAACGCCCAAAATTGGGGTTTGGACACAAAATTTGGAGGTAAAACCCCCCAAAATTAGAGGTAAAACCCCCCAAAATTAGAGGTAAAACCCCCCAAAATTGGAGGTAAAACCCCCCAAAATTGGAGGTAAAACCCCCCAAAATTTGGAGGTAAAACCCCCCAAAATTTGGAGGTAAAATCCCCCAAAATTGGACACGCCCCTGCGCGGGGAGGAGCCTCAAAATTTGGAGGTAAAACCCCCCAAAATTTTAGGTAAAATCCCCCAAAATTTGGAGGTAAACCCCCCAAAATTGGAGGTAAACCCCCCCAAAATTGGAGGTAAACCCCCCCCACTCCGCCTCGCCGTTCGGCCGCGATTCTGGGGGGAAAATGCCCAAAATTGGGGTTTGGACACGCCCCCCCGCGGGGAGGAGACCCAAAATTTGGAGGTAAAACCCCCCAAATTTGGAGGTAAAACCCCCCAAAATTGGACACGCCCCCACGCGGGGAGGAGACCCAAAATTTGGAGGTAAAACCCCCCAAAATTGGAGGTAAAACCCCCCAAAATTTGGAGGTAAAACCCCCCAAAATTGGAGGTAAAACCCCCCAAAATTTGGAGGTAAAACCCCCCAAAATTTTAGGTAAAACCCCCCACAATTTGGAGGTAAAACCCCCCCACTCCGCCTCGCCGTTGAGTCGGGATTCTGGGGGGAAAAATGGGGGGGAAACCCCCCAAATTTGGACACGCCCCCACTCGGGGAGGAGCCTCAAAATTTGGAGGTAAAACCACCCAAAATTTGGAGGTAAAACCCCCCAAAATCCCCACAAACCCCCCAGACCCCCCAATTTCAGGTGTCCCCCCCCTCTCCTCTCACCGGCCCTGTTGATCTCCACCACCTCCTCCTGGGCCAGGAGGAGCAAACCCCCAAACTGCCCCCAAACTGCCCCCAAAACCCCCAAACTGCCCCCAAACCCCCAAACTGCCCCCAAAACCCCCAAACTGCCCCCAAGACCCCCAAACTGCCCCCAAGACTCCCCAAACTGCCCCCAAGACCCCCAAACTGTACCGAAACCCCCAAACCATACCCGAAATCCCCCAAACTGCCCCCAAAACCCCCAAACTCCCCCTCAAACCCTTCCAAACCACCCCAAACTGCCCCCAAACCCCCCAATCTCCCCCAAACCCCCAATCTGTCCCCCCTCTCCTCTCACCGGCCCTGTTGATCTCCACCACCTCCTCCTGGTGCAAAACCCCCAAACTGCTCCCCCAAACTGCCCCCAAACCCCCCAAACTGCCCTCAAACCCCCTCAAACTCTCCCCCAAAACCCCCAAACTGCCCCCAAAACCCCCAAACTCCTCTCAAACTCCTCCAAACCCCAACAAACTCTCCACAAACCCCAACAAACTCTCCCCAAAACCCCCAAACTGCCCCCAAAACCCCCAAACTCCCCCTCAAACCCTTCCAAACCACCCCAAACTGCCCCCAAAACCCCCAAACTGCCCCCAAAACCCCCAATCTCCCCCAAACCCCCAATCTGTCCCCCTTCTCCTCTCACTGGCCCTGTTGATCTCCCACACCTCCTCCTGGTGCAAAACCCACCAAATTACCCCCAAACCCCAACAAACTCTCCCCAAACCACCCCCAAACTCCCCCAAGACCCCCAAACTGCCCCAATCTCCCCCAAACTGCCTCCAAACCCCCAAACTGTCCTCCAAACCCCCAATCTCCCCCAAAACCCCCAATCTCCCCCAAACCCCCAATCTGTCCCCCCTTCCCCTCTCACCGGCCCTGTTGATCTCCACCACCTCCTCCTGGTGCAAAACCCACCAAATTACCCCCAAACCCCAACAAACTCTCCCCAAACCACCCCAAACTCCCCCAAGACCCCCAATCTCCCCCAAGCCCCCAATCTGTCCCTCCCTCTCACCGGCCCTGTTGATCTCCACCACCTCCTCCTGGTGCAAAACCCCCAAACTGCCCCCAAAACTGCCCCCAAAACCCCTCAAACTGCCCCCAAAACCCCCAAACTCCCCTCAAACCCCCCAAACCAGCTCCAAACCCCCAGTCCCCCAGACCCCAATCTGCCCCCTCTCCTCTCACCGGCCCAGTTGATCTCCACCACCTCCTCCTGGTTGCAAAACCCCCAAACTGCCTCCAAAACCCCCAAACTACCCCCAAACCCCTCAATTTGTCCCCTTCTCCTCTCACCAGTCCTCCTGTGCCAGGAGGAGCAAAACCCCCAAACTGCTCCCCAAACCACCCCCAAACCCCTTCAAACTCCTCCAAACTACCCTCAAACTCCCCAAACTCCCAAACTCCCCAAACCCCCAAACTCCCCCAAACCCCCAATCTGTCCCCCAATCCCCTCTCACCGGCCCTGTTGATCTCCACCACCTCACTCCTGGTGCAAAACCCACCAAACTACCCCCAAACCCCAACAAACTCTCCCTAAACCCTCAACTGCCCCAAGACCCCCAATCTCCCCCAGACCCCCCAATCTGTCCCCCTCTCCTCTCACCGGCCCTGTTGATCTCCACCACCTCCTCCTGGTGCAAAACCCCCAAACTGCCCCCAAACTGCCCCTAAAACCCCTCAAACTGCCCCCAAACCCCCAAACTCCCCCTCAAACCTCCAACCAGCCCCAAACCCCCCCATCTCCTCTCACCCCAATCTGTCCTCTCCTCTCACCTGCCCTGTTGATCTCCCACACTCCTCCTGGTGCCAAAACCCCCAAACTGCCTCCAAACCCCCAAACTACCCCAAACCCCCAATTTGTCCCCCTTCTCCTCTCACCGGCCCTCCTGTGCCAGGAGGAGCAAAACCCCAAACTGCCCCCCCAAACCACCCCCAAAACCCCCAAACTGCCCCCAAAACCCCCAAACTCCACTCAAACTCCTCCAAACCCCAACAAACTCTCCCCAAACCCCAACCAAACTCTCCCCAAACCACCCCAAACTGCCCCCAAACCCCCAAACTCC